TTAGAAGTTAACAGGAGCAGAGAATAAGAGACAAAGCTTGCAGATAAAATAGAATTTGACGTCTTATTAGAGAACCTTGCCCACAGCCAGAATCCTGAAAAGACAATATCTCAGTGGGTAAACCATCAAATAAAATTTGCTTCAAGAGAGAACAGGTGATTATACTTGCTTAGTATAAACATGGCACGGTTGGAACAGGAAACAAAAAAAATCTCTTCCGAGATTTCCTTACCTAAGTCTGGACTCATTTGACTTTACATAATAAAGATGACCAAAAACAGTATTATCATTTGTAATGGACTTTCCTTTAACCAGTGTTGTTGTTGTTAGATGTCATTGCATCAGCTCCAACTCATAGCGACCCTCTGTACAACAGAACAAAAAATCGCTCAATCCTGCACCATCCTCACAATGTTTGCTATGTTTGAGCCCATTGTCGCAGTCACGGTGTCAATCCATCTCATTGAGGGTCTTCTTTTATTTGCTGACTCTCTACCAAGCATGATGACCTTCTCCAGGGACTGGTCCCTGGTGATCACATGTCAAGAGCATGTGAGATGGAGTCTCATCATCCTTGCTTCTAAGGAAAATTCTGCCTGACAGGTGTTTTGTTCTTCTGGCAGTCCACAGCAAGTCAATATCCTTAACCAATACCGTAATTCACAGGCATTAATTCTCCTTTGGTCTTCCTTTCAATGTCCAGCTTTTGCATGCACAGAAGGCTATAGAAAATGCTATGGCTTGGGTCAGCCATATTTTAGTCCTCAAGGTGACATCTTTGCTTTTCAATACTTTAAAGAGTTCTTTTCTAGCACATTTACCCAATGCAATATATCATTTGTTTTCTTGGCTCCTGCTTCCTTGGGTGTTGACTGTAGATATAAGTAAAATAAAATTCTTGACGATTTCAATATTTTTTCCATTTATAGTGGTGTTTCTTATTGGTCTAATTGTGGGGATTTTAGTTTTCTTTATGTTGAGGTGTAATCCACCTTGAAGGCTGTAATCTTTGATCTTCATCATAAGTGCTTAAAATCTTCTTCATTTCAGCAAGCAGATTTATGTCATCTGCATATCACAGGTTCTTAATGAGTCTTCCCCAATCCTGATGTCACATTCTTCTCCATATAGTCCAGCTTCTCGGATTGTTTTCTCAGCATACAGATTGAATAATTATGGTGGAAGGATACAACCCTGACATACACCTGTCCTGATACTAAACCACAGAGTATCCATTTATTCTCTTTGAACTACTTCCTCTTGATCTATATACAGGTTCCACATGACCACAATTAAGTATCTAGAATTCCCATTCTTTATAGTATTATCCATAATTTGTTATGATTCACATAGTGAATGCCTTTCCATAGTCAATAAAACACAGGTAAAGATCTTTCTAGTATTCTCAGTTTTCATGCAAGATCCACCTGATTGCAACAATGATATCCCTCATTCCACATTCTTTTCTGAATCTTGCTCGAATTTCTGGCCATTCCCTGTTGACGTACTGCTGCGACCACTTTTGAATTATCTTCAGCAAAAGTTTACTTGTGTGTGATGTAAATGGTATTTATTGTTCAATAATTTCCACATTCCTTTAGGTCACCTTTCTTTAGAACGGGCATAAATTTGGATGTCTTTCAGTTGGTTGACCAGGTGTTCCAAATTTCTTGGCATAGACATGTGAGTGCTTCCTATATTGCATCCATTTCTTGAAACATCTCAATTGGTATTCCATCAATTCTTGGTGCTTTGCCTATGTTATTATTATTTTTTTCCCCACTGCATTCAGTGCTATTTGGACTTCTTTCTTCAATACCATCTCCTGATCATATGCTTCCTCCTGTAATGTTAGAAGTTGATAAATTCTTTTTGTTACAGTGACTCTGTGTATTTCTTCCACCTTCTTTTGATGTTTCCTGTGTTGTTCAGTGTTTTCCCCATAGAATCCTTCAGAATTGCAGCTAGAGGCTTGAATTTTTTTCTTCAGTTCTCTCAGATTGAGAAATGTTGAATGCGTCTTTTCCTTTTGGTCTTCTAACTTTAGATCTTTGCATATTCCATTATAGTACTTTACTCTGTCTCCTAGAATCACTAGGAATCTTCTGTTCAGCTTTTTTTCTTCATAATTTTTACCATTTGCTTTAGTGACTCTACATTCAAGAACAAGCTTCAGACTGTCTTCTGACAGTCTATTTTGGTCTTTTTTTTTTTTTTTTGACAGTCTATTTTGATCTATTTTGGTCTTTTCTTTCTTTCTTGTCTTTTTAATGACCTTTTGGTTTCTTTATCTATGATATCATTAATGTCATCCCACAACTTCAGTCATTACTGTTTAATGAGCCAAACCTATTCTTCAGATGGTCTCTCAATTCACTTGGGATATACTTGATAAAACACCTCAATTAGACCTTTGTGGCCTAAACAAACATTAGCAAAAAATTTCATTTGATGTGATCTTATTTTGAGAAAGCAAATCCTCTCAGGAGAAAAGTCCTTTAAACTGTGGCCACAAAAATCCCCTCAAGTAAATCTCTAAGGACTAAATATAACAATCAAGAGTTGGGCAAAGATACAAGCAGATAGCCACTATGAGGAAGAGTCAGCAGAAACAATCTGCTGAACAAGACTCACAAAGACTCTAGGTATTAAGATGATCAAATGCAGAATATAAAATAAGTCTAACAAATTTAAAGTAATAAAAAGAGATACTAAATGGTTTAGTCTTAGAAAAGAGATTGGTATTTTGCCAATCTACACCTTAGACATGGATATTAAAACTTCAATGTCGTAAAAGTGATGAAAATTTTAAGGAATACTTTAAGGAAACAAACCCCCCAAAAAGTAGATTATAAACTTGAAACTAGACACATGCAACTTACTTTAGTCAATTATGATATTAAAAACTATCTACCAATTATAAGACCTTCTGCTATGAACTTTACATATTTGACCTAATTTAATTATTACAAAACCCTTGCAAGGTGAATATTATTGTTTCCTCTTTATTAAAAAGTAAAGCAAGGCTCAGAGAAATTATAACAATAGTGTTCAAATTCTAACCTAGCTATAGTAGTTCTTTCTTTCTTTTTTAAATACATTTCCTTTTTTAAAAAAGATCTAGATTGATACAAAAATTACAAAGAAAGTACAGAGTATTCCCATATACCCATTTCCCTCCTGCACAGTTTCCCCTGCTATATTAACCTCTTGCATCACTATGGTACTTGGAAGGAAGGTTGGGCAATCTGTAGAGGTACTGCCTTGGAAACCCAAGGAGGGGTTCGCTAATGAGTTTGATCCACCTTGGCGGTAATGAGTTTGGTGTTTGGAGTTTTTATCCCTATGGTATATTTGTTATAACTGATGACCCAGCACTGACACATTATTCTTAATCAAGTTCACAGTTTACATCAGAATTCACTCTTTGTGTTGTACAGTCCTATGGGTTTTGACAAATGTCATGTATCTACCAATACAGTATTATGAAGAATAGTTTCACTGCCCTTAAGATGCCCTATGCTCTACTTGTTTATAACCCTACTCCTTCTCTTCCTGCCAACCACTCATGTTTTGACTTTGTCTAAGTTTTCCGTTTTCCAGAAGGTCAGAGAGTTATAATCATACAGCATTTAGCTTTTTCAGATTGGCTTCTTTCATTAAGCAATATGCATTTAAGGTTCCTCTATGTGTTTTTTGTAGCTTGATTGCTCATTTCTTTTTACTGCTGAATACTACTCTGTTGTATGTATTTATCATAGTTTGTTTATCCACTCATCTATTGAAGGACATTTTGGTTTCTTCTAATTTTGGCAATTACAAATGAAACTGCTATAGAAATTTGTGTGAAGGTGTTTGTATGAACATAATTTTCAATTCAATTGGGTGAATACCTAAAAGCACAATTACTGGATCATACAGTAAATCTATAATTTACTTTGTAAGAAACTGCCAGACTCTCTTCCGAAGTAGCTCTATCATTTTGTATTTCAACAAGCAGGGAATGAGAGTTCCTGTTGCTCCACATCCTTGTTACATATTTGGTGCTGTCAGTGTTTTGGATTTAATCCATTCCAAGGGGTCCACAGTGGTATTTCATTTTAACTTTTAATACCCTAGGAAGCTCTAGTCATGTAGTGGTTAAGTTATTTGGCTGCTAATCAAATGGTCAGTGGTTCAAACCTACCAGCCACTCCTCAGCAGACAGGGCAGTCTGCTCAGTGGTTCAAACCTACCAGCCACTCCTCAGAAGACAGGGCAGTCTGCTTCCATAAATATTTACAGCTCTGGAAACCCAACAGGGGTCACTATGAGATGAAATCAACTTGATGGCAGTGAGTTTTGAGTTTGGAATGATGAATGGTATTGAGCATCATTTCATATAGTTTGTTTCCATATATATATTGTTGTTGTTATATGCCTTCAAGTCAGACCCGACTCATAGCGACCCATCCTTGGGTTGCCAAGTCAGTATCACCACAGAAGTGGATTGCCCAACCTTCCTTCCGAGGAGTGGCTGGTGGGTTTGAACCGCCAGCCTTCTGGTTAATAGTCAAGTGCCTTAGGCACTATGCTACTAGAGCTCCTCCATATATATATATATATTTGGTAAGCTGTCTATTCAAATATTTTGCAACATTTTAATTGAGTTATTTGCTTTATATTTGTTATCTTATACCTTGTTCTATCAACACACAGACTGATTAAGTTTTCTACTTACCCCTCTCAAAATCAAGGAGATAAAAAAAAATTGTTATCATGTATTCAGATTCTTGCCTGTTTTCAAGAAAGTTTCGTTCAATTTAATTTCATTCTGTGAATAATCTTGTATTTTTTTAAAAAAAAAGGTAATAAAGATACACTGTCTCCATTTAGTAAAGAGTGAAGAGCACACAGTACAGATTTTACAAGGTCTGAAAAGTCCCTGCTCAAGACCTCCCACTGCCATTGCTGTTTAAAGAAAACATCAGATCAGGCTTCACTTTATTGGTAGCACTTACCGGTTGTCACCTTCTCTGGAGAAAAAGACTGTGAAGGTTTGGATGCTCCCTTTTGCTTCTGCAGGTGGGCGCCAGCTGAGTCGAACAAACCGACTGGAAACCAAGACAGGAACCACATCTCTGGGAGCAGAAGGGAGGACATTGGAGCTTGGGATAGCTGGAGAGGAAGGAGAGGAGTCCGTCAGAGGAGCTGGTGCCATTGGTGGGGAATGTGGAAGAAGGTAGACCAGACCCACTGGAAACATAAGCATGTGACATTCTCACAGGCGTAAAGGAAGAAAAGCAAAGAAAAGCAAACAGCTAATGAAATAAAAGCACTTGACATTCTAACCAAGAGTGAAGCAAAACAATCGAAAATAACTAAGCTATCATAGATTACTGAATATCTTCAGTGTTTAAAAAGGTAGCTAATTAATAACATATATGATTCCATTCCATATTTGTGCAGTCTTTATTACTTTTGGATCCATGCCAACAAGAACAATATTCTGTTTAGGCAAGAAACAGTGAGAGAAATTGGTTAATGTGGATTTTTAACAAGCACATGAATTCTAGAAAGACCTTTCTTTAGAAGTGTGGATAATAGGATTCGGTATTACAAAGGGATCCTGCTTCTTGTGACTTCTAATGAGTAATAGAAATGTTATGAAAAAGAAGTATTTCTATCATGTTAAAGCAGACAAAATTATTTTAAGTAATTAAAAATGTATTTCCCTGAATTCATTCTGGAATCAGGCAGAGGTTGAAAAAGTAAGTAAATGAATGAGTAACTGTATCAATTATAAATAAATGCATAGATTTATATTTGAACTAAAGGAATTATAATACAGATAATAAACTTAATATATTTTAAATATGTAATGAAATGTAGAGTGAATATTTTGTCAAAGACAATTCCTTTTTTTTTTTTTCCTTTTTATTGTGATTTGGGTGAAAGTTTACAAAGCAAATTGGCTTTCCATTCAACAACTCATACACACTTTGTTTCATGATATTAATTGCAATGCCCACAATGTAACAACACTCTTCCTACTGCTTTTTGGGTTCCCACTTCATTTGTCCTGTTTTCTGATCCTTTTCTGCCTTCTGAGCTTTATCCTTGTGCAAATATTGCTCTTTTGATTTCATATGGTTGATTGTTCTAAGGAGTGCATCGAACACAAATGAACGCACTGCTGTGGAGTCGGATCCGATTCATAGTGGCCCCTCCTTGGGTTGCTGAAGCAGTTGTTGTTGTTTTTGTTTGTTGTAGCAGTATCACTATGGAAGTAGATTGCCCAAACTTCCTTTGGAGGAGTGGCTGGTGGATTTGAACCTCCAGCCTTCTGTTTAGCAGTCAAATGCCTTAGGCACTATGCCACCAGAGGTACTATTGTTCACCTTACAGGCCTATCTGTTGTTTGGTTGCAAGTTGAGCCACAGGAGTAGATCCAGCTCCAGGCTTGGAGGGTGATGATGGGCCACAGTCTTGAGGGTTTCACTTTTCTCCATCAGACCAGTAAGCTAGGTCCTTCCTCATGATTCTGAGTTCCATGCTCATTTGTTTTCCCTCCAAGACCTTCTTCTGCTATGATCCTTTTCAGAGCTGTGAGTAGTAGTAGCCAGACATCAACTAGTTCTGGTCTCAAGATCAAGGAGGCAGAGCTTCGGGTGATCCATTAGTGCTATTGACTAATTGTCTCCATGAATCTCTTATTTTCTTCATTCTTCTTTGCTTTGGATGGCGAATGACAGATAGTTGCACCTTAGAAGCTTACTTGAAAGCTATAAGACCCCAATAGCTACTCACCACAGTAGGATTCAGAACATTATCTTTGTGAACTATGTCATTTCAATTGATGTTGATGTCCTCCGAGACTATAGTCTTGAGCCCCTAGGCCCAATAACTCATTCTCTTAATGTGGCTGAGGAGTTTTCAAAACTTTGCCCCTGAATATTCTACTATATTCATGGATGCGTTTGCAGCACATATAAATACATGTGTAGAGAAATCCTTTGTGAAACCACATAGGCGTTGTCCCATTACCCTTCCCAGATAACTCTTCTTTGAATTCTTGAATATGCTGAGAAGAAAATTGCTATAACAAATGGAAGTTTATAACTTTTATTTTTGCTTTAGATAAATATGGTCCAATAATTTTAATAAACAGTGAGATAATTTGATTCCTAAGAAAGACAAAATATCACATAGACATTCTTTTTCCCTTATATTTGTGGAATAACTGGAAATAACTTGATTCTTTAAAATACTGAATTCATATTCAATAGAATATTGAATTCAGTAGAATTCAGTAGAAATGATACAACTCAAACATGTATAAATAAATTGGCATAGAGTTTAATGATACTCTAATCTCATAATCAAATTATGGAAACTCTCAACATTCCATAATATAGCTATGAACTTGCATGAATTGAAAATGTTTCAGGTAATCAAGTAGCTATTAGAAAAACTTTGTTCTATTAAGATCCTGTTTAAATTATTTTAGATGCAATTTGAAGTACCTTGCTCATGTATTTTCTAAGACAAAAGAAAGTTAAGAGCTGCACATGAAAAGTGGACTGAGTTAACAAAATGTAGAACAGTTCCCATGGATTACCTACAAGTAAAGGTGATGATGGGAAAAAAAAAATTTCTAGAAGACATAAAAATATATTTTTATATAAATATATTTTTATATAAAAATAATTGCACCATGTTTGTAGAATATCACTACAATTATTATACATAGATATAACACAGAATCATCCACAAATAGAAAACTTTGGTTTTCAAACATTTAGGGCATTTATAATATGTTTTAGAAGTTTTCTATCAAATATATGTATATATCTTGTGGTGTGTGTGTATGTGTGTATCTGTGTATGTGTGAGCATGTGTGTGTGTGTGAAAGTGAGAGAAAGAGAGAGAGAGAAAGAGAGAATGTATAATTCATCTTTGCTGAGTAGCTCTATTTTCTTCTTATTTGCTCAAGTCCCCAAGTCTAAGGAACATTTGTGTCATCTTAACAGGTGATTTCTGGTAAAAAACTGTAAGTATCCATTTTCCTACATTTCCTGGTATTTGTGGTCCATTTTCTCTAGTTCTTAGCAAAGTTAGTTTTCATTCTTGTATTCACTTTTGAGAAGGGTTGGCTGCATCAGCATTCCTGCCATTGTGTAAAGTCCCGTTAGCTGGAAAAAAAGCCATTTTGGGGGTATACCTTATTTCCCAATGTTTCCAGAAACCTTATCAAGTTACAGTACATGCCAGCTACACAGCAAAAGTGACGTTTAAAGACTGCAGAAAGATTTCAGAGTTCTTTCTGGCTCCATAGATTATTAGACTAACTTCTTTGTAGATAAAGTATCCCTTTGCTTTCTTGATCGGCACAGTATTTTAAGTAAATGGGAGACTGGCTGCCAGTTTGTCAATCTTTTATGTCAGATTGGTGAGGGGAGAGGAAATGATTAATGGCTGGATAAGTAGTATGTCTCTCAAAAATATAGGTGATATTAAGCTTCTTGACAAAATTCTTTATTTCCACAGGTTATAGGCAGCTCTGCCTTCCTCTCCCATGCCTCTTCAGCCTGCTTCTCTTCCTACATTGCTTATCTCAATGTATATTTACACTGTCCTCTCTTTGTTGTTGTTGTTGTTATGTGCTGTCAAGTCAGACCCAACTCATAGTGATCCCTCCTTCGGTTTGAGAGGCAGAATCACTACAGAAGTAGATTGCCCCACCTTCCTTCTGAGGAGCGGCTGGTGGGTTTGAACCACCAGCCTTCTGGTTAGCAGTCAAGTGCCTTAGGCACTACACCATCAGAGATCCTACAGAAATGTATTAGGCACCAGCTAGTGGAAAAATCTGAATGAAAGCAGTGAGTATAGAGATGGATGGAGCTGTGGACTGTCAGCTACTCTGATGGCACCAACAGCCTGAATATTTCCAAGTGGTTCTGGGACCTGAGAATTGACCTAAAGATCAGCCCTGGTTACCAAGGGCTGCAGGGATGACTGTGCTGGTGGCCTATAACTAGGAAGGGAAACAGCAAGGAGGGAGACAACCTGAGCTGTGGACTTTTGGCTGCCCAGAGGGTTCAGCCATTTTGATTGTTTACAAGCAGTGGCCATTTTGGATATTTAAAGTGACTGAGGGTGCAGCCATTTTGACTGTTTACATGTGACAGCCATTTTGGATATTTAAAGTAACAGCACTCTCATTCAGATTCCAGGGACCTAAGAATGGGCTCCATTTGCCAAGTATATATATATATATATATATATACATATAGGAGGCTGACAATGGGAAAGAAGACAGGTGTAGAGTGTATAAGTGCTACCAACTAGCAAATAGAGGAGCGCAGCACAGTACCCTGCTTACATAGATAACTTACAAAGAAAATAAAAATCATGGGCAAGTCACTCCAACATACAATCACCAATAAAATATAAACACAAAAATGACATAATGCCTCAAAGACAACAGAGCATCACAGTCCACACAAAAAAGAAAGATAAAGCAGGAGAAACAAGTGACCAAGATACAACTACCAAATAGAGGAGCATAGTACCCTGCTTACATAGATAATATCCAAAGAAAACAAAAATCATGGGCAAGTCACTCCAACATTCAATCACCAATTAAATATAAACACAAAAATGTCACAATGCCTCAGAGACAATAGAGAATCACAGTCCACACAAAGGAGCCAGCTAAAGCAGGAGAAACAAGGGATCGGGATACAGACCCAAAACACATCCCTGAGGAAGAAGCAGCATTGGAACTCCCATATAAGGAGTTCAAAAGAATTATATTTGAGTACCTTTGAAGGACTGAGAGAAAGATCAAGGAAAACACCGGCAAAATTGAGAAAAACCCAGAGAAAACCCTAGAACAATTTAAAAAACAATCCAAGAACAAATAAATGGAAAATTAGAAATGATACAAAATCTACAGCTAGAAATCCAGAAGATTAATACTAAATTAATACTATTTTTTTCAGAAATAGATAACATACTGAATGGGCAAAGGAGTAGAATTGAATCAATGGAAGACAGAATTAGTGAGATTGAAGACAAATACCTCAATACTTTTTGGGAAAGGAATCAGTCAGAAAAAAGATCAAAACAAAATGAAGAAAGCCTAAGGATCATATGTGATACCATCAAAAGGA